TAGAGGATAGGACATATATGGGAAATAAATCCCTTAATTTTGTGGAGGGAAAATTAGGGTAACTTAACACATTTAAACTGTTGGATTTGTAATAATAGATCAGATTGTGACACGTGTACATTTAAGTCAAAATATATTTTATACACGTGTCACAATCTGATTTATTATTACAAATCTAAAGGTTAAAATGTGTTAAGTTATCATAATTTTTATATCTCAAAGTCAGAGGTAATCAATTTTTGTGATTAAAATAAGTCAATAAAATGTAAATTATGAAAATATTCCAAATTTGTGAGGCAAAAAGAAAAGTTATTAAATTACCTTATTTTGTTTACACAAATATTTATAGAAAAACAAATTGAAGAAAATTTGGTAGGAGAAAGTTTTGCATTTATGTTTAGAAAGAAATTGAAAATTGGTGATAAATAAGACAATACGCTAGAAGAAGGGCTTGAACGTTCGACCTTGTGATTAACAGCCACGCGCTATAACCAACTGTGCTATTCCAGCTTACTATTTTAATTGCCAAATTTTTTTAATATTTTCTATACTAGTCTTATTTATGATATTCGCTACTTCCAACGAGCCACACCCATAATCCCACGTTTGAATCTTATCCCAATGCCACGTCCTCTACGTTCTCCTCGTGGGCCTCTTGTATCTTTCTTAACATATTCTTTCTTTCTTTTGATATTTTTTTTAAAGCTAACTAGTATTTTATAAGATAAATGTTAGATTTTATATTAAATAAATATTTTTAAATATATAAAGTATATAAAATGTTATAATTAAAATATTTTATTTTAATTTCTATATATTATTTCTGCTTTTTTAATCTTGTTGTTTATTGCTATAGCAATTTTTTGAAACTATGTAGACCGGAAAGAAACAATAATGATATAATAAAAATTAAAAAGAAATATTTTTAATCATATGAATTAAAAAAATAAATTTTATCCTGTTAAAAATGATAAAATTCGTAAAATTATAGAAATAAAAGTGATATAGTTAAACATATATAAAATACAGTGATGCACATTAAAAAAGAAAAAGAAAAGTATTAAAAATATCTAATTTAGAGAGGGTAAGAAAAGTGAGAGTACCACTAAGTCAAGTAAAGTAATTATAATTAAGGGATTAATTGAATAGAGTAAGACATAACATTTGCCAGGTCATAGGTTAGAACATCCTTTCCTCTCCTTAAGAAAACTTATTTTGTAAGTGCTTTGTTATTTTAGGAACTTTTCCAAAATTGGATAATGACACCATCCTCCCTTCCTAAATTTTTTATTAAGAAAAAAAAAACTATTCGACAAGTACAGAAGTAAAAATAATAATGCATCTGTTATTTTTTTTTTTTTGTAAAATTCATTTTAATTTTAAGTTTTTCGAACCAATTATTATACTTTTTTGCATGGGGATAGGAGTATTGGTGGATTGAATTCAAATCAGTTTGATTTTTTTTCTAATTTGGTTCGTATTTAAGATATTGAACTGATAATTTCAATTTTATAAGTATTAATAAGAGAGTTTTTTTATAAATTAAAATAAACTTATATATAAATTTAAATTAATTTTTTAAATAAAGTTAATATGAGACATGTTTCATATTTTAATTAGCATTCTAATTAAATGAACGATAAGAAAAATTAGCATACTAATTAAATGAACTTTATTTTTGTTACACGTTTAGCGCATAGGTTAATTTTTGGTAGTCTGAATAATAAAAAATTGATAAATTTAAAACATGATTGAAAAAAATAAAAATAAAAATTAATTAAAAAATAAATTAAAATTAATGAAATTTATAAGAAAATATGGGTGAATTAATGGAATAGTAAAAAAAAAAAAAATAGCAAACCTATTGCCACAAGAAAGGGACATGGAAAGCGTGAGGTTGCAGCAGCCCAGCGCAGCCAAATCCGTCGGAGGCTCATCTATATTAGGCCGATATATATTAATCAAATATAAAGTAATAATTATCTAAATACTTAATTAAACGATGAAAGTACAGGATAATAATTAATATTTTAAAAATAATTAATCCACAAATTAACCCGTTAATTTGTGATTTAAAACAGGGGTAAATAAATCCGTTTTAAATGGACTAATACTATAACTAGTTATAACCTATTTATATACCCAATTTTATTATTGGTCTATATTCATTATTATTATTGTATCTAATAAATATAATATTTATTAACATTATTTATTTAGCTCTAAACTGTGTGCTTGCTGCTGTCTATCATCATATTCGTATGGTGTTTTGAAATCTGATTCTTCAAATTTCATGATATATATTGTCAAAGCATAATCTTCTATAGTTTTGTTTTAACCATGTAGCCGCATGAGAAAATTTATTTAGTCAAAGCTCTAACGAATTCATCATTAATTATATTTTAAGATAAGAATAAACGGAGAGCTAGCTTTCAAATATCCACCATATCAACCAAAAGTCATAGTCAGAGTTGTCATCCAGACAACACCTACAAGCGTGTCAAGATATTCAAACACCCCTCCAAAGTCAAAACAACTTTTCTTTTGTTGGAAGCAATATTCATGCACCAACTTCACATCTTTTAACGGATAATGAAAATAACAATAATAATTAAATATATTTTTTATTCTTATAAATAAAATAAACTTTATTTTTAAAATGTATTATGCGTGGTTTCCATTTTTATAAACAAAATATTAAAAATAAATAAATAAATAAATAATGAAAATAAATGTTATTATCTTTAAATAATAAAATCGAACGAGAATATTAGTGGTTGCTTTATGTTTTGCATGTCAAAATTGTTAAGGAAGAGGTATTTGAAATTCTCTTTACTTCTAGCTAGCTAGCTAGCAGTGGTGGAAGGATATGAATGGAATATATTTTTGCGTTGACAACTTGTGCCTTGGAAATCTCTTATAGCACACTGCAGCGATATAAATATGTCCTCCTTCGTGACCTTAGGCTATACAGAAAAGAAGCTTTAGTTGAAGGCTTAGAATAATATTGATAGTCAAAGGGTTGTATTGTATTAGCGAGAGAAGCAATCAAAGAAGGAATAATGGAAGGTTTGATTCCATATCTGATTCATGTGATAAAGAAGCAAAATCCTCATCATCATCAGCACAGCCACAGAAGGAGCTTGTCCCATTCTGAAAGCTCAAACCGTAGCTACCATTTGTTATTGGCATCTGATTCCTTCACAGGATCTTCTCACAGAAGAAGCAGATCAGACACAACTCATGAGTTCTTAGATCAGAGGTCATATGCTGCACCTCCCACTCTCAATGTTAATGCTGCTATACCCTCTAATAACATCACCAACGTTCGCAAGCGCAACTGATATGTCTCTTCCAACCTTTTATTCATTTGTTTAAGATCATGCTTGCCCATCAAAATTGTAATATTCTTATATATTGTCTATACTTCTCATCTTAATTCTAAGCTAATTTGTACGAGATCAACTGTAATCTACTTCAATCAATGTTAAGAAATTGGAAGACAAACAATTCTCTATTCTTCACTTTTTCGAAAATAAAATCTCTCTCGGATAAGAATGGATGTTCTGACAATTGTTGGCTTAATGGGTATCTAACGCCAATGCCTGGAGCTTCAACTGCAATTCAGGCAATCGCATAAAAAAATTCAGATATAAAGTGAACAAAAACCACTACAAAAAGCATTCTATTTTATTAATAAAACATAACTATGTTATAATGATTAAACGGTACATAATTTAATATCGTAACAAAAATATGATATAAGAGTATACATATAAAAACTTAAAAAAATATATATAAAAGGAAATTCATAAATATATAAGGGGAAAAGGAGAAAAGTTTCAAGCTTGAACGTCATATGAAAATTAAATAAATCTTTCCGATTGATGTAAAAACAAATATTTTTCAATGCCTTTTCTATTTTTTAGGGTTTTGCCGACTATTGTAGTCACTAGTTAAGGAATTATAAATAATTTTCTTTTTATATAAATAATGAGAATTATATTTTTTAAAATTTTATTTTGATTTAAATATATTTTTAATCTTTATAAAAAAATATTTTTCATCCTTCTTAAAATTTAAAATTATTATATTTTGATTTTTGTAGAATGATTTTTTGTAAAATTCTTATAATATATATATATTTTTATTTCGATCTCACCAAAATTTAAAATCACTATCTTTTGCTTTTAATATTTATTATTCATTGTAAAGTAGACAAATAATATTTATTTTTAATACTTATAAAAAAAAATTAAATATTACATACTAACATGGTGTAACTCAACCGTCAGTTAACTATATAATAAATACAAATGATACTTAATAAGAATCTCATAATAGTGTCGGGTAAAAACAACATCAAAGACATTATACTAAGATTTTGAATTCAAATTTCGTAGATGAATTAAATTTAAATAAGAAATTATACTAAAAAGCCTTTAATCAAATTCTTCAACAAAAATTATTAAATTTAAATAAAAGAAATTCTACTAAAAATGTTTAATCAAATTCTCCAAGAAAGATTATTTATTAACAAAATTAAAAAATTTATGAATATTTTGTACCTGTAAAGTGATAAAGAGGGAGACTCCGGTTAGAAATTATACCCTTACCAAAAGAAAGTTTACGATAAAGAAAGTCTAGGTAATTCAAACACAGTTATTTCACTTTGAAAACGTGATCCCCCTCTGTCCTTGGGATTCGAATCCGTTTAACATTTGTGCTAAAGGGATCCATTAACTATGTTGTAGTAATAACTGGGAATGAACCTTCTGCACAGATACGGCAGCATGAAATCCTAATCATTCATTAAATTTCATTAATATAATATATTTTATTATAAAATAGAAGTTTTAAAAAAATAAATGGTGAGATTACAACACTTTACCATCTCCTTTTATTCCACTGCTGAGAATCCTTTCCTAGTAATAACTTGATATCATAATAAACCAGATTCAGCAAATTTTCAACTCGCGACATAATACGTAAAACGCGTAAACCAGAGAGGAAAAAAAAATCATAAAACCGGTAAATCAAGTAAATCATCTCGGGAAATTGTCCCACAAGCCACGAGTTGAATTTTTTCTTTTTTTTAACAAATAACTTGGCAAATACTTGCTTCTGTTTGATATTATGAAGCCAAGAGTGCTTCTAACTTCGCAATCTGGTCATCCTCATTCTTTGGAATAGGATCCTTGTTAACCTCTTGATACAAATCATGTTTCCACTTCTCAACCCGCGTCTTAAAAGGATGATAACCTTGTCTTCCATTAAATTTATCTCTTCCCCTGTAATTGCTAATGCCTCCACTGCCCCCGTACCTTCCTCTTGATGAAAAGCCATCCCTCCTAGCTTCACTCTTATTAAGTGCTCTGTCCTCTGTAATTTGCTTCTCAGGTCTATCAAGATGGTGAGGATTGCTGCTTCTTTCCTCCTTCCTTTCATTCCTTTCCGGAAGATGGTCAGTCTGGCTTGACTTAACCGCCACCAATGCAGGTGGATTAGCATTTGTTGAATCCACAGGAATCTTCTTCTCCCTAAATGCCCGCCTTTTCCTCAGAGTAGGAGGTGGATCATCTTTTCTTTCAGAAAAACCATTTCTTTTCTGTAAATTATCATCCAGTTTCACCTGTGATTTCTCCTCTCTTAGCTCTCTACTTTGACCTGGCTCCACCCTTTCATTATTCTCTTTACTCTTTTCTGTGTGAAATGGAAGAATTTTGTGCTTCAGGGTACTGAGTCAATCTACGAATCATCCATAAATAATAAAGCCAAAGGAATCCAAAATAAATGTAAGGGAAGCTCACCACCAGCTTCTCTTTGACCATTGCTTCGTCCAACCTGCCCAGTAAGTTCATCATGCTGTTATACAACAAGCATAGGCAAGCCTAAGATAGTTATATATCGTGGCACTTGAAGGCATGGGACTGAACATGAATCCGCTACATCAGCCCAGAAAAATAGTTTGCATATACTGAATAATAATCAAGCATATAAAGGGGATTTTAAATCTATAAAAATTCAAAATGAATTTCCAAGTCATCTTGAAAATGATAATTTAGACATTTCCTTTTGAATATAGCATAAAAAATGTAAGTGATGAAAACACTACAACTCCTTACAAAACAAGTGTGGTAAGAATAAGAACTAACTATTTTCAACAACTTACAACTCCGACAAAACAAAAGATTGATAATATACAGCTTGCACTATCAACTATGCAAGCAAGTATGAACTATCCGTACCGTGTTTAACCCAAAAACCAAATGCCGGTTGTTTTCTTTTTTGATAACATTTAAAGCTCATATTTCACCTAGTATAACAATCCCATGTAGTAATCCTGGCAATCTTGAATAAGTAATGTGCCTTCCAGCCCCAGCACATGTTGTAGTAGTTAAATATAGAGGTATGAGTCATGGCAAAGGATTTGCATCATGGTTGAAAAGTAAGCAAATGAAATCCCTTACGACTGGTGCCAAACAAAAAGTAAAGATTGGCTTATACGGTTTCCCCCCTCCCTTCCCAAACAATATAAACCATTATTTACTAGCCACAAGATATGCAATCCGAGCCAAGACCATAAATGACTGTGAACTCAACTTCACTAATTAATCTTGGAAAATGACTTATAGCTAGTGGATAATGTATATTGCACATGCAACCCTCCTCCTCTCCAAGAATATAGAAATCACGGATCTTGAAACAAAGCAGGGGAATGATATATCATTTTCTTTCTTTTCCTACAAATTGACACACTCACTATAACTTAAAAAAGGAATTTATACAGAACCTAAACAAGATACAATTCGAAACGCAAACTAGATTATGATTAGGATTTAGGAGCAAGAACAGCTCATGCATTCAATTACTTTTACAAAATAATTGGAATGACCTGATAATAAGAGCGAGATCTTGGTGGTTGAGAGAAATGCTTGGGTGGGTCATGATGACCATTCGAATTTGATTTCTTGGGAGCGGCATCCAAAGATTCTCGCCTAGAATGATGATGTGGCAGTGGTGGGTTTCTCTGACTCTGATCTACTCTATCTGAGGTTACTCTGTTCCTGTCCCTCTCTCTTTCTTGTTTACCATCTCTTCTATATCTCTTGGGACTAAACCCCCAAAATCAACAAAGAAACCATCTCAGTATTTTCCTAAAGAACGAATGCATTCAAAACCAACCATAGTTTAATCGAAAAACAAGCGATTACAATTTTGGAGAGAGCACCTTGGTTCTCGATCGAACTTAGAATGGCGACGCTTGGAATCAGAGTCTCGATGAGACATTAGGTTTTTCTTTCTGTTCAAAATTGGAATCTCAATCTCATTCGATTAGATTAGGGCTAAAAGCTTCTTTCAGTTGTGTTGTATTTTACTGTGTCTTATTTCTACGTGTCACTATCGCTATTTACCGTGTCATATGTGGATAGATATAATTTTAAATGTTACTTTCAGATTAATCATACTTATGTTGTTTTATTATTGTTACGGAATAATAATCGTTCTTTCACGGAAAAAAAAAAAGAAGGAAAAATAATTGTTCGTTAACAGGTAATATTTTAATAATTTCATATTTTTTATATTACTATTTAACATGAGTTTATAAAAATATAATTAAAGAATAATTTATCAAAATAATATATATATATATATATATAACAAAATCAAATACAAATATTACGATTAGGGATGGTAACGAGGCAGGTCGGGTACGGGTTTCGTGATAACTGTCCCCGTCCCTGCGAGTCAAAC